TTTCCTTTGGGATTTGTTATATGCTTCATATGTGTTTAAGAAATTTTTCAACTTGAATTATTCATTTGTAGCCATCCTTATAATTATACTGAGATGGTAAGTGATCAGTTAGTTTAACCATGGCTATTGATGCCAAATCCAATATTTAAATAATGAAATATTTCACGTCATACTTAGTTTTACTCGCACATTCCTTTGTAGTTAAATCTTGTCCGTGCTATTTATAAAATTAGTTATTATTCCTTATCCATGGCATAACATGCAAGTAAAATACATAAACGTGTAAATAGATGATGAGCAACATGTAAAACCTAAATATTTTAAAAGAAAATAAGGTGATCAAATGATTTATTATTTTGAAATGAACTTAATTATATGTACTCCAATTTGGCTCATAAATTGATGAACATGTAAAACCCAAATATTTAAAAAGAAAATCATTGTAGCTCCATAACTCCATCATCAAATTAAATCCAACTTTTAACTAAATTAAAAAAAAAACAAAAATTGTAGGAATCTTTCCTTATTTTAACTAATAAAAAAATACCCAAAAATATTTTTGCAACTGCATTTTGGCATGTTATTCAAAAAATCATTTCTTATTTCTAGATGCTACAAAGTTACAGACCAATCATCACCCTCTCAGTTGTGTTAGATATTAATCAATCTATATAGTAGTATAAACTAAATTTAATCTCAGAATTGGTCATTGTGTTGTCAAAACATTAAAGGAAGGGATTAAGATAAAATCTTGTAACACACAAATGACGATGAATGAGGCAAAAGCTCCCATTTCTCATCAATTATTTCTCAAATTTTCCTGCAGTTAAACTCCTCTCCGCCTAAGCTATCCGCTATCAACTTCTTAGCATTGTTTATCGCATTATCAATAAAGCTTATAGCTTGCTTTTTATTTGCATCAATCAACCTTAAAATTTGAACCAATAACTTCATTATTCATATTGCACAACTAACATTTAACAAAAATCTTTCATTCAAAATATTCTTCCTAATTTCTTTGCCTTCAGATTTCATTACCCAAGCATAGTCAAACCATTATATGGATATGAACATAAAATTGAAGGTTGACTTGCTCACAATATACTTTATAGAGTCAAGTGTAGTAATTCATAGAGTACATTATTAGAAAAAATTTTCATCAAAGAAAAATCTCATGAATGATTTTGAATGAACTTGCTGATCTTCTTTGCTTTGCTTAAGACAATTCTCTGTAGAGACAATTTTTTAGGTTTTTCAAAAAATCAAATCTATGTAGCGTGCCACATATGGTGTCTAATACGTATGCTTCATATTCTCCACCAACTTATCTCTAGTCTCCCTATAATCACTAACATTATCTGTAGCAATTTGAACTAGTAGATGCTCTCTAATGTGCTTTATAAATCCAACAAGAAGCCCAAAAAGATACTTAAAATCATTAGTCTGATCTGATACTTTAATATATTTTAAGAAAATAATGTCATAACGATTGCAATCAAAATGTTAATAAAATTTCTATTTCTAATATTAGATCAACCATCAAACGTGCAGTCACTCCATACTATTTTGAAGTTCTTTTAAACTCTTCCAGCTTTAGTATCCGAATTGTCAGCTCATACACGGATGTTGATTTTAAGCTTCAATCAAAGGAACCTACAGAATATATCATGTTGAAATAAGGAGACATTGCCACATTAAATTGAATGCAAGTTTAATTAGAAAATATTCCAATATCCATACATATACATCTACAAGCCCCTAAAGCACTTTTCAGGAAGGATGCAATGGGCTACCCTCACGCCACCGCTCTCATCCTCTAAATTCATTATGCATTCATACAATGATCCTATTCGTATCTCTATTTGATATATGTGGGCTTGGTAACAAAAAGATGACAAATATATTCCACAAAGCCCACAATCATAATATGATCCAAAATATACTCTATCATCTAAATATCATTACACTAAATGCTTCAACTTTATCGGCTTATTCATATATGCACAAATCTCCTTTGTCATCACCACTTCAGACAAATTGGCACACGGTCTAACATTCTTATGAGCTGGAAGGGTACTCTTTTGACCATCTTACATCTCCTTTAACTACCTTATCAAAGTTATGACACTTCAAATAGATATACATTTTGGCATTCCCTCCAGTATTTACTTGCACATTATAATGAAATTTTTTATTAAAAATTTAAAGCATGCAACAGTTCAAATAAAATGAAAATCTAAATAAATAAAGTAAACAAGGAACCCTAAATAAACAAATTTCGATATCTTCATTCTTGATTACCGAGTTTTGATATATCAAATGCTTTGGTATTGGCTCCTTTCATGTTAGTTGGATATCACGCTTTATGCCCTAAATAAATAAATTTTGATATCTTCATTCTTGATTACTGAGTCTCGATATATCAAATGCTTTTTGGTATCGGCTCCTTTCATGTTAGTTGGATATCACGCTTTATGGTCCTTAGAAGACTGGTACATATCCTTTTAGTTGCTATGCATGACCAACCATGCTTAATGCAGATAAAGGATGAGATGCAAGTATACAAAATTCATTCTAAAAAGGAAAGCACGACAAACAATGAATATGAAATGGATAGCAGCAAAGGTTACAAGAATATGCATGCTAAAAACTCAAGTGATTCACTATACTTTCTTAGGATGATGAATTTCCCTCGAATTTTAAACTTTAAATATAATAGAACAATAAAATATTTAAAATCAATGGTGGTCGAGTAATTATCAGCTAAACAATCGAAAAAAGTTATTTTCAAAAGGTATTATATTTCAAAGTCATCTATGTGATAACATTCGCATTTTGCAACCACGTATAGGTTTTGTTAAAACTGATTGAAATTAAAAAAATGCTCAAACTTGCGCCGCTCAACATTAAATAGAGAGGATTTTGAGATTTTGAGCTCCATCCTTTTTGTAACTCAATTTTGAATTAGTAACTCTCTCAACTTTACATAATTGCAAATTGCTATTTTGTAGCTACTTATGGAACCATTTTTCATGGTTTTAAAAGAAAAGGTGGATATCATTGATGTGAATTAGAACATTTTTTTACAAAGACAGAATTACCTCAGAAGAGATTTTCCACATAATTCTCCAGCAACAAAAAACAATAATAGTGTCGGAGCAAGAGTTTTTTATATTTTGGGTGTAAGATTAGTAACACTAAAGGATGTTCATAAGTACTAAGTATTGTGTGTATTAATTTTCAAATTAAAATGGTAGAGCAATCAGACATGGACACAAACACTATTTGATAAATTAAAAATTGACTTTTAACCTAAGAAAGGGAAGAAAAATGGAATGGCCTAATTGGCAGCTTTTAATCTAAAGTCGTAAATATGATGTCTTCATTAGGCCTACTAGAGAAAAGTAGAATATCATCACCATTACTGGACTTATCCTAACTATTGGTGTCATTTTTATCATGAACTCCTCATCCATTCAATATTGTTAATTATTATATGAGATATTAAATGCTTTTAATATCCATTGTTCTTCAGTAAAAAAAGTATGTCTATTTTGAAATCACATCTACAATAAGAACAAGAACCTTAATCTCTCCAGTATAATCATTTCTCGCACTAACATGTTTTATTTCCACCACAAGATCATCTTAAAATTCTCATTTACGCACAAAACTAAGTCTTCTTCGATTAAACATACACGATAAATGATTGTTTATCTTAGCAACTTCGTCGGCAAAGGGACTGCAGCAATGAAAGCAAACAAAGTGTTAAGACCTTACAAATTATTACTTGAAAGTTGAAACTCACAGGAGCTATTGCATTTCCGTGACAGAACTAGATCACCGTCGTCATCCAATTTAAGAGATTGGCATTCAGTATAATACTGGTTCTGATCCCTGTACCCATCATTTTGATCTAGCGTCACATGACAATATCCAGTGAAACAAATAAAAATCCAGAAATCTTAAAAAAAATGAAAATAAAAGGGCACACAAATCAGCCTAGAAACAAAAACGTGAAGCGATTACCCCTTCCTCCCGGCAGGAACAAGATCGCCTTCCTTATCCAAATTGATAATCTTTTCCCCAATTAAATCAGCTACAACAAAACGAACTCGCAGATTGAGTCCTACTTCAAAAATATAATACAAAAAAAAAATAAATAAATAAATTTGAAGGGATAGATGGGAGATTCAAGATTTGTGATTTCACCCTTAGGGGGTAATGAAAAGCTGAAGTGGGTAACGTAGGAGCCTGAGAAGCGTGGGGGGCAACCGAGGTGGACTTCACTCATCACTTGTTCGCCACTCTCTCCTTCTCCTTCCATTTTGATTCTTCGACGCTCCGATTGAGCAGGAAAGAAAAGAAAATGAGTTGAGAAAGATGGCAAAATGCAGCAAGATTTACTTTCGCATTGTACCTAACATCAAAACTTCAATTTTTACATATGTAATCTTACCTATGCATTAAAATATTTATTTCATTTTTAAAAGTTAAAATAATGTAATTTTTAATGTGATGTGAAAAATTTTGGTGGCATAAATATAAAAAGGTAAAAGTATAAATCTTATATATATAATACAATAAGCATTGAGACATGTATTTAAATGCCCCAAAGATATATGGATTTTATGCTTTTACAAAGTTAGCAAATACTTTGGTGTTTCTTCTAAAAAAGTACTTTGGTTTTGGGAAAACTCCTTTATTTCTTTGAGAATTTTACATGAATAGCATGCAAATATTTTTATTCAAGTATTTCACATGTTACACTTTAATATTATGAAATTAGTACTATCTCAAAGAAATCTCATCTGTCAAAACTAGCTTACAAAGATCTCTGATGCTCTCATCATTCTCCTCCTAAAATCTTGGGAAGTTGTAAAAGTTCCGAAAAGCACTCAATCACAGTGAAATAATGATGGGGCGTCACGTGTCAAGTGGACCTCATAAATTTTAATACTGACCAATTTCATGTATTACAGTGGGTCCACTTGACACGTGACATCTCACTATTGAACTTCGGATGCAAATTACGTAAAAAATCCTGATGTAATACTTTCTGAAAATAATAAACTAAAACATCACATTTCTCCTTCCCGCGTCCGTTCCTACCAACCACCTGCCCCTTTTCTTTCCTATATCTGCAAGCAAAATCAGTTTTGTCTTCTTCTGTTCGAATACTGCTGATGATTTCGACTAATTCATATAATAATTAAACGTAATAATTGTTGAAATTCATAATAATGCGGACTAAAGTGAAATACTACATATTAATTATTAGAAGATATAGGAAATAACATAAAATTTGAAAACAAATAATTCATTATTCAAGAAAATAAATATAAAGTAAAGAAAATATCTCCTTAATCTAAGAAAATAATTTATTCTTTATAATTTGTTACAGGAATAAATCATTTTCTATTATAACTCTTAAGACTAATTACTATTTACTCGTCTTTGTCAGCACCACCTGCAAGTTGCCTCGACCGCATCAATGGATGCAACCTCACTGAAAACACCACAACCCAACCTCACAAAACAACTATTTCTTGCAGCGCTAACAGCCTTCCAACTTGCAAGTCCATTATTACGGTCGCTAAGGATAGAAACGGAGACTTCAAGAGCGTTAATGAAGCTCTGAATGTGATGTCAAACAAGTACAATGGAAGGTATGAGTTTGAGCATGTCGCCGAGATTGAATGGGAGTTTCTCGACGAATGAGCTCCTATTTCTTTTTACACTTGTCAACGAAAATCTCGATTTTTCAACCCTCATCCATTCCAGTGATATCATATTCTTAGTTATTTATTTCAATAGCATTTCATCCCTTAAAATTTTAAAGTATAATAGAAATGAGACCATAAATGGTCGGCGTACTCGCATGGGTCCATTACCCCTTCGTAGGTATCGATGTTTAGGAGTTTGAAACCCATTGGGATATGGTGTTAGAGAATCAAATTAGCCAAAAGATTGGATTCTTGAAAGTTGTGGGGAGTGGGAAAGTGATCCCTTTTATCCAAAGGGAACTCTTTCTGAATCAGACGTCGTAGCTCATCACGGATGATATCAAGCAAAAGTGACAGTAAGGCGAGGCGATTTCAGGTGAGCTACATGAGAAGGGTGAGTGGAACTTGTAATGTTGAGAGGATTGACGCTCCATCTGGTAGGGGAATGGTTTCATCAACACGGTGGTCAGGTATTTCTTATTGGATGTTGTACTTGTGGTAAGTAAGCTCCACTGTGTTACAATTGTTGTTCCCCATGTAGGAGATGAAGAATCTTGTGTTAAGACTCCATCCCGCGTACTAAGTCTTAAGAGAATGACCCAAGACACCTTATTGGATAAATGTCTTCCAGAGTAGAAGGATGCAATGGCCTGATGTGCTTGGCTCTATGACTGTCTTCTGGAATGATAGGTGTTGGAGCGCGACTCTCCGTTGTTGTGAGTTTTGTGCCTAGTAGCCATGCCACAATTATTTCAAGTATTTTAGTGGTGAGAATACTCTATTCCCACATATGAGTGCTTGAAAATTCAGGGAAGTAGAATAATGAATTATCGTCTCAGTGTTGCACGAGAATTCAACACCACTCAAATAAAAGAAACAACTAGTAGAGACACTAGAAGTTTTTATGTGGAAAACTCATAAACAGGAAAAATCATGGAGTTTGGCCTAGTTGAAGAGATCCACTATAAACCACATGTGGGAAAGAGCTGAACATTCTTTGGA